TTGAGACCAACATCTTGGCGGTCAAAGTGGACATTGATGATTTATAGGACCCTTTAGGTTGAGACCAACATCTTGGCGGTCAAAGTGGACATTGATGATTTATAGGACCCTTTAGGTTGAGACCAACATCTTGGCGGTCAAAGTGGACATTGATGATTTATAGGACCCTTTAGGCAATGTAATATAAACATAAACTCCCTAGGATAATCAAGACTCTCTAGTAGAACAGTTACCTCAAAGGTTTCCGTCTCTGTTTTCTTTGTCTTTACTTTTATCCTTTAACAAAACAGGGTCTCATACTTCGACACAATATGTTGTTAACTAACGGTGATTCTTACTGGACTTATCATTTTTCCTGTGATCAGATTCGTAAGTTCTCTACTGCTCTACTAATCACCTTCTATTCATTTAAAAATCTTGTAATCTTTTTTTTTGCAATATTGCTAGAAATCGACATTTTAGTTCAGCCATAACATTATATAACGGTAATACTAATTTGCCAATTATAAAATTGATCACAATTCAAAAATTGATGCAAGGTTGTGGTTTTTATTTTGAAATTGGCAAGTAACAAAAAAACAAAAAACATTTTTATCATTGTATCTATTCTATTACAGGTGTACATCAACCGAGAGTTGTATTTATTGTATACTTGGCTATTAAAATATAACTTATTTCGTCAACTATTGTATTTAATATCCACTAATAGAACAATAAGAGTCAATTATCTACTGTGTTTATTAGTGTTTTCATAGTCTACCTGGGATATACTTCAGATACATAATTAGTAAATATGTTGATGTTATTATGATAAATTTTATGATGTTATATCTAAAGATATACATTGTATCTGAGTGATGCATTTATTTCATTTATGCTTTAATTCTTCAAATATTACATTATTCATAATTGTTGCAGTAAACAAAACACTAAAATGCAGATAGAGAATGTCAGAGGGTGCAGATATCAGCGTCATGACAACCATTTTATCGTGTGTAGAAAAGAAATTCTCTCGAAATGTTTTCAAATGAAATAATCTGAATAGTGTACCACAAGAGGGCTTCCTTCCTAATTGCTCAGTTTACTCAATCATACTTTTTTGCTGCGCTTTTATAATTTTACGTTTGCTGTGTTTTTACTTTTTTTATTATAGTTTCATTGTATTTAACTGCTTTAATTTCATCTTTGATTTCATCATCTATTAGATAATCTTCAGGTTGATATTTTCTATATCATTTGTTTCCTGATTCTTTCTTCTTGGAGTATTTATACTGCCAGTGAGTATGTAACTCTTGTGCATGGTGAAAACATAGCACATGAAACCACCTTGTCAAGTACATTGCAACTCCCATGGTGGTCACATGTAACTTGCATGGTGGTCACATGTAACTTGCATGGTGGTCACATGTAACTTGCATGGTGGTCACATGTAACTTGCATGGTGGTCACATGTAACTTGCATGGTGGTCACATGTTACTTGCATGGTGGTCACATGCACAGACAGCATTCGTATAGTATAGTAACTGCATGCTCAAATTGAATGTAATATTTTTCCCATTTATAGATATATTAGAGACAAACATCGCCTTTATCTGTGCATTTTCAATCATCATGCTCCTGACATTCTATGTAGCATGTAAGTATTCAAGGTGTTAATTTGTGTGACGAGAATTTTGAGGATATTCTTGATGATATCAGAGGTACAATACTTGGGGTTTGCAACGTGTATAGTACTGTATGGTGACATCATGTCAAGATCCCATTCAAGTCTCTTCTCGTAGATAGCGAGATTGATGCTACGACCTTCTGACATGACATAGGCAGTTTGTAATAATCAATAAAACATGTATTACCACATTCATAGTGAAATAAATTAATACATCGAAAATATACAGAAAATAAAGTTATCGTAATCCGTCATATCGTGAGCAGTTATTTTGGTCCACCTGGACATTCCAGTATTCCATTTTTCTGAGTTGGAATGCTTATGCGAGAGCGAGATTGAAACGGGATCTTGGTATCATGTCACCGTAGTTGCAAACCCCAAGTAATGTACCTCTGATGATATCCACTTTTTGTAGTGATCAAAATTCAATAAAATTCAAAATGGTCACCTGAATTATGTTAATTGTATGCATGATGCAAGTGCATGAATATTTGTTACTGTTCACTATTGACCTCAACCAGGGTGATGGACCACTATGATACTTGTCTGATGCTCGACTAAGCACCGCGACCTCCCACTTTTCGGACATTTCTATTTTCTATTGACTGCCTAGTCATAAAACTTGGTCTGACTTTTCTGAAAACCAAATTTATATAATACAACTTAGATATTGCCGTGAGTAGTATGTGAATGTGTACACTTCAACAATGACAATCAATCAATTCCAACAGATATGCTTTCACATCATTGATTCATCAGAATGCTTTCAGGAATTCTCAAAGAATTGTGTTGGTAAAACACACCATTCTGATTGGTTAATAACAGACTTGACCTATCAGGTCAAAAGACATTGTTGTAGGTCAAATTGTGCAAGAAAACATCAAAAACATGGCGGAAATTGCTTTACATCAAGAGTTTGCATATATTTGACAGTGAAGCTTTCAACTTTGACTTAATATTGTAATAAAATGTCTGTATTTTTCCGTTTCTTGATTGTAAAAACGTTGTGAAAATCAATGACAATGTCACTATTTTTGCAATTTTATTTTTCCCAAAGGGGCATAGTTAGACAAGTGTGGTAGCTTAACTGGAGATTTCTGCATGTACGTTTAATGACATTGCATTGACATCCAAATAATAATAATAAATTATTGCACTGCAAAGGTACTACAGAGTATGGCTGCATCAATCTCTGCTGTATATCCATCAATTCTATTCTCGTAATAGCCATAATATAAAAGGACTGAGGAAAGTGGTGAAACTTTCCCACAATTGATCATTTTGGAAACATCTGGTTATTTACTCTTTGTTTGGAGTTTTGATTTTCTAATAATGTATGAGGAAAATGTGGGTCAATATCAAAATTACCAAATGCTGTACCTCATAGATGTCAATGTCTTGCAGTGGTAAATAAATCCAACTCTTGACTCAGAGTCAATAATTAATGTTTTCTTTATTGTGCATTTGTAGTGTATTCAAAAACACAAAATTGTGTTTATTCGGTATAAGAAATATAAAGTTATGAAGTGGAGATCAATATTCAGTTTTATTGACCTCGGCTTCCCGTCAGTAACTTTCTCTTTGGGCTATTTAAACTGAATATTGACCTGTAGGTAACACAAAGGTGTCATATGTTTAAAATACTAATAATGAGTTTGTTCTCTATTTGTAGCTGTTTTAAAAAGCCGTCAGTTGTTACATACAACATACAAGATGTACATGGCATCGGTTATTTTCTATGGTAAGTGATTATTTAACAATTCATTTTAAAATACACACTGCATTGCAAATATAATTTGACACTCTTGTATTGCTCCATGCAACAACATCACATTTGACTGTTGTTTTTTTTTCTTTTTTAATCAAGAAATTGTGATATTTCAAAAAAGTATCAATATTATATTGCTCTGTTAGGAGCATATCTCCAAATATAATTATAGATAAACTGCATTTATTTTATGCTGGATTATTAGACAAACCTCTGGCATGTTCTAATGGAGCAAATATAGTATTAGGTTTATACCGCTATGTTGGTATGATAACTTATCACATGCTATCAATAAATTTTATTGAAATAGTGAATTTGGCATGTACATGTCTTACCTTTGTGCAGAATTTAAACAAAATTGGTTCAATGTGTCAGAGAAATATGCAAAAACGCTGCCAGTTGGTTAAATTTCATTGAAAACAGAAAATTGAACAAAATATGAAACACTTAAAAATAAAATCAACATGCCTGCCATTATGTCTAACTTTGAACAAATTGAACAAAATATGAAACACTTAAAAATAAAATCAACATGCCTGCCATTATGTCTAACTTTGAACAAATTGAACAAAATATGAAACACTTAAAAATAAAATCAACATGCCTGCCATTATGTCTAACTTTGAACAAATTGAACAAAATATGAAACACTTAAAAATAAAATCAACATGCCTGCCATTATGTCTAACTTTGAACAAATTGGTGAAAACCATAGCCACATGTGCAATAAAATGTTAATCACTGATAAATAAATCAAAGCCATCATGTGAGGGCACTCTATCTTAAACATACTTTGCTCTGAGCATTATTAGGTCAGTCAGTCAGTTAGCAAGATGAATTACAACTTTGTGAAACACTTTTTGTTTTTGTCTAACCTTGACTTGACAGCACCGTCTCATTGACACATGCACAGTTTATATCATCCCATTATCATATTAGAGGAGAGAAAAGCATGTTTTTATAAAATTATTTATTTTGATTTGTTTTAATATTTTTTGAATCACATACAATGTAGATACTAAAGAAATGAAAGATAGGTACTGAATACGTACACTAGATTAGTAAATCACCATGTTGACAATCCCCGTAAAATGGTGATTCCCACACAGCACACTATTGGTCAAATGACACAATCAAGTCTAGAACAAAGCAATAGTCAATTGTTTTGCAAAGTTGTAAGCCATTTTGCTGACTGAATTTTCGAATAATTCTCAGAACTGCTATAATAACCATGCCCTTCTTACAAACATCTGTGATACATGTATTAATTATGGCCACTAGAGGTCCATATTTGTCCATATTGACTATAACTGTTTGTTTAATTGCAGTGATTTGTCTGTTTTTCCTGTGTGTTTACTACGGTGACTACGGACATACTGGTATTGGTGTACCCGGATTAAAAATAACTGGCAGAGTATTCTACTCTCTTAGTCAACTCACATTTCTACTTATGTTAATATTGTTGGCGAAAGGTTACACTGTTACAAGGTATGGCTATTTTGTTAATTGTCACTACCACTATGGTATGATGGCTCTTCTGTTTGTCGAAATATAGGGGTTCTACACAAATGTAAACTACTTTAATTATATTATGGGTTTAATATTAGTGGATTTGATAATGCAGAGATATTGACTTGGTTTATAAAGAAATCTATACATTATTGTATTCAGTTTGAATACTCCCTGGGTCCTAATTTAGGTGCATTCAACTGCCAGAAAAAGTCACAACATAATAGCCCTGTAAAGTTCTGGCAACCTTCTGAAAAATCATTTCAATAATGTGTACAGTACTGTAAAACTGACGCACTGTAACTATGATGATATGGTTACAGATGTATCATATCATTCAGTAATAACACTGTTTTATTTTTGTGTTCTAGGGGACGTATTAGTCACTCTGGTTCTGTAAAGATTGCAGTGTTTATGACATTATATTGTATGGTGTATATTGGATTATTTATATCTGAAGCTGTGGTAAGTGTTCTATACAAAAAAGTCTTCTGTAATTAGACATAATGTTTAAAATTAAGAGTACCGGTAAGACTGGCTGCTAACGTAAAATCTGTATTAGAAGCTGCATCCCTAATATAAGTTGCACCCATTCTTTTTGAATAAGGCCACACTGATTTAATTTTATGGATGACATCCTCTGAAGACCCCAAAACTAATGCGAGAGGGCGAAAAAAAAAATTCGGCCAAAAAAACAAAAAATGCTGCTAAAACCACAGGATTACGAAGCTATTATTACGAATTTAACCACAGTGTATCAAAAAAACAACAAGTCTTAATTTGTAGGAGGCACATGTTGATGTGCACATTTCATACTGTATTACTGTCACAGGTATCTTCACCTTTGATTTTGAAAAGGCAAGAGGATAAGGCAGATGTTAGCTTTGCCAAAGGCATACACATCAACTCAATAATAAAGAAAAACTTACTGTGTTGTATTGAAAAAAAAAATAATTAAAAATGAACAATAAGTTTGTCAACAGCAACCTGGAAATAAACTTCTTTGACATTCAAACTACAGCACTTCAGATAGACTAAGTGTAGACACAAATGCTCTAGAACTACTTCAACTATGTAACAAATTATAAGAGGCTCGATATTGAAAAAACAACAACACCAACGTTACCCTGTAAGGGGACTTCGGCCAAGGAGCTTCTGCTGCTTTCGTTGCAGTTTTGTCGACTTCAATGCGGACAAAGCAACCGAACTGAT